GCTTCCAAAGTGGCACTAAAATCATCCAAAAATTAATTTACGCGAGTGAATATAAGTTTAAACGGCTTAGATTAAATCTAAATAAGTTATTGTATGCCTGTTTGCTCGCTTTTTTTTCTCGAATTTAGACTATAAATCAAAAATTGTAAACCGGTTTTTCTCAGTATTTGGACAATTTTTTAGGAACTTTATAATGGTGTTCGAATCACGCTGAACTGAAAAGGCTTCAATATGACATATCACTCGACCCATTTCTATTATTATTTGTGGTAACTGATTTTGCGTAGAAAACAAAAAAACTAAAACACACCCGAATACAAACTTCCTCCCCATTTTTCAAATGGTCGGAGCAAAAAGAATTGATCAAAAACTCATCATTTTTTAAATGATTTGTTTGTTGACAAGAAGATACCAATATTTATTTGCTCGAGGTTAGACTAAAAACCAAAAATTTTGAGCCGATTTTCTGTTTTCTGGAAGTTTTTTTGGAGGCATCATGGAAGCATCATGGTGTCAAGAGCTTGACAATTAGATAACACTCAACTTCTTTCGACGATTGTTTGTGGTACCTGTTTTGCTGATTTTGCGGGAGAACAAGATAAAGATAAAACACATCCAAACTCAAAGTTCTCTTTTTGTAGGACTTTCAAAATGCTGCGGAACTGGCTGGTTCAATTTTTTTAAAAACTTGCTCTACGTACTATAACGGTATACTTGATCACATAGTAAAAAAAAAGACGCGGGTTAGAATCATGAACAACGAGAGCCAGTTGCGTAATTAAGATTTTCAGTATTCAAATTATCGCTGCGTTACAGAACAACAAGTTTTAATTCTTTAGGAAAATCACAGAAATTCAAAAAATACCAAAATGTTTTCAGTGAATGAGTGTTTCTCTTTTAAGTACTCTATTTTTAATTTCAACTGAAGGTTCAGAAAACTAATTCTCGTTTTTCCTTCTTTTTGATTTATAATCTTTCTTTGTTTTTGCTTCAAGACTGATTGTTTAATTTTAGTTCTCAGAGAAAAACATCAGAGCACTCAAATTGATTTGAGTTCAGCTTGCGCGTTTAATTAGCGTTTTTTGTGCGCTTTGAAAAACTCCTTTGAAGTCTTCAAAAGGTTTAAAGTCTTTAAAAGGCAACTTTCGGTTTTAGTTACTTATAAATAATGCCTTACTTGTTATTATCTCTATTTTAGTTGCCTTATAAGCATCTCTGCATCAGATAAAATATTGAATTATGTTTAAAATGTCGTTCAACGATAATTTTCAAAAATTAAATGATAAATGTTGCCTTTATTCTATTGATTTGTTCTCCCAGTTTTCCCCACTGCTTGGCTAGGTCACTTTATATTTCTGACTTTTGAAGAGTGCGGCAGAGTATTTGTGACTAGTTTCTTCAGACATTTCTTCAATTTTCAGTTTCCGAGGTTTTTCATATCATCTAAGAAAATAACCTGAGCTAAAACATAAATAAAAAGTTTCACCCGTAATCGCCTTTTCTATAGGTCTGAAAAAAAACAACATACCCAATTTGGAAAAATACTAATTTTCGGTTTTCCTTCAACTGGCTGCGTAGACGACGAACGTTTTGGCTTGTAAATAAATTATTCCAAAGTGCATTTACCCCTACTTCTCAATCGAAGTGCCAAGGGTTCAAAGGATATCACAATCTGCACTTGAGAATGTGAAAGTTGTGGATAAAAACATGTTTTTCCAGAAGTTTATTGTGAGTCGTTGAACAAGAAGTCGAACAACAGTCGTATGCTTTTGTTGGCTGATAAACTTGCAGGCGGTTTCGGTTCAAACTAGCTCAGTTTATTCTTGTTTGCTCGAACGAAAAAAGTCGTGTCAAAGATTTGGACCAACAATAAAACCTAAGCATTCAGCATTCGGTCAAGTAAGATCATCCAAAAATACCTACAATCGGAAGAGCGTGATCAAAACTGACCAAGGTAAAAAAAACATCAAGCACAGCCTAAGTAACGATTTATTCATACTGTTTTCATACAACAAGAATCTGCTACATGAATGCTCAATTAAGATGACAAATAATTTATTTTTGTCAATTATCAATAAGATCATGAATTGAGATGAGCTCTTACTTGGTATAGGGACGTAGGAAATTAGACGATAAGCAAATTAGACGGATGCTACAAAAACGAAATTAGACGGAATTTATTTTTTACAGATCTGGCATTTTAGACGAAAGGGAAAGGGCCAACAAAAATTTTTCTTAAGAGTCAAGTTTCACAAATACAAAAAGAACATAAAATGTCAATACCTATCAAAACAATTAGTTTAAATGAACCTAAAATAACAAATCTGAATACTACAGGAGAGTTTTGAATTGAATAAATTATTCATGATTGAGTTGTAAAGTTTTTGGCCACCGAAATTGAACTGTTTTCTACAAACAATTTTATTTTTCTAACGCAATTTCTGTGCAAACAAAGTTAATATCTCTCACTTTCGTCTATTTTCTCACAATTGCAGTTTTGCAAAACCGTCTAATTTCCTTTTAAGTTCCTCCGTCTAATTTGCTTATCGTCTAATTTCTCAACCCCCTTGGTAAATCATAATTTCATATTTAAGGCGATCAACTCAATTTAATTGAATTTCGAAAGACACCCAAATTCGGTCAAAAAAGTCGAAAGAAATATTAGCTGATTCGAATAATTTTTATTACATTATCATTCGTAGCGACTGTAGAACATTTCCAAATTTGGTAAAAGCACTTGAAATATGGAGAGAGCTTCTTGACCGCAACTGTCACTTTCATGTAGAGAATCGATGGATTTTCAGAAAAATTCCAGAAAAGTTCTTTTAGCTTTTCGAATTTGTTTTTTGGGCTCGCCCAAAAGAATATATATCTTCACAGACAACGAATTAGGACAAGGCTAGCCGGTTACTGTAGGATTAGCAGAAGATGTTCAGACGATAGTCTTAAGAAATACACCCAATTTCTTTTCAAATTTTTATTCTTTCGACGTGACGTGATAAAAAGATCTGAAAGAAAAACTAGAGCGTGAACATATTCAACAGTCATAGTAAAACGAGCAAATTGAATGTTTCTCGAAAAAAGACCAGAAAAAATTTAAAAAAAAACTAATTTACTCGAGTTAAACTAAAATAATATAGCTTAACTTATGCTTTTGAAGTCTTTTAAGCCATTAAAACAAGAAGCTATTGTAAACCTGCTCACTCGTTTTATTTGCTCGATTTAAGACAGAAAATCAAAAATTTCCAATAATTTTTTTTCTCATTACTGCCATTTTTTTGAGTTTTTTAAATTTCAATTGAATCACAAATGAAAACAGTTTATTATGATATAACATTCAGCTCTCTGCGATGATTACTTGTGGTAGCTGTTTTTGCGTAGAAAACAAAAAAGGAAAAAAGTTTTGGAAGATTTTGATGAAATAGTTTCAATTTGTTTAGACATGCTTCTTTTTAAAATTTAATTTGCACTGGCACAAACGCTCACGCGCAGTGACAAATTTGATAAATTATTTTTTTAAGTTTTGAAACTTTTCGAATATTTTGTTTTAAGATTCGATTGTGTGGCTTTTGTTTTGCTATAATTTCTTACTGTACAGCTTCATTTTAAAGTTTTTAATAAAAAAATTTATTTATCTGTTTAGAGTTTAATGCAGATTTTACACAGTTGGTATACGAATTATTTATAATATCACTACAGCGTGACACGACTAATCATCGAAGAGACCTTTGGTCTCAAACAAAAATCGGAGTTTTTTTTTTTTAAAAGCTACAATTCGCACCAACAATAATTTCGGATGAGGCAAACAGTAGATGGAGTGGCAAACACTCATTCACGCGAGTTGTTCATTTCATGCCGAACGTAAGTGCAGCGGAGCAAGTGGTCGCTACTTGCCAATGGCTTGTAGTTTCGACTGTCATGGATTATTTATGCTTGGCATGGTTTTTATTCAATCAATTTTAATTTTTTAATTAGCCATTTCTTATATCATCTGAAAAATAGTGTTATGCAGAGCTCAAAGGCAGAACAAAATTCACCTGTAATTATTTTTGAGAAATTAATGAGTTTTGAAAAATGCTAAATTGGCCAATGATTAAACCAATCCAAACTAAATAGAGGCAAGTTTTTTGGTCCTATTATTTGGAAACGAGATACTAAATACATCCTGTTGTACTTTATATAGCGTGTGAGGGGATAAAATAAAGAAAAATTGTTCAAAAAATTTTATTTCTTTTTCTTCAATTAGTTTATCAGTTTTTGAACCAAAAAGAATAATTGGCGTTAAAATGCAGTCGCAACTTTCAGGATTTCGCCCTGATATACGAGTAGCCTTGCTACGAACTGTTGCCTCTTAGGAATTGTCGTCTTATCTATCTACAGATTATATACAGATTACATACAGATTATACAGATCATATAAAAATTTGACCTCTTAGCAGAAACAGCGCACAATTTTTCGACCATATTGACTTCAGGGAGGGAATACAATTTTTTTTTTGACAGTTGAACAGTTTTGCAAGTAAAAATTCTGATGAAATTTATATCTTCATCTGCTCATTTCAAGTTTTGACTTTGCTTGCTTGAGCTTTATTTCAACCGTACTCGACAAGACAAAACTGGTTCGACCGCGCTCAAGGTATGTTTCGAACTGCATGACACAAACTTTTGGGCTGGTCGACCAAAAAAAAACTTGGTAAATATTAACAAAGGGGACTCTTTTGTTGGCCAGAGGGATGTTTTTCTTGGTGTAAACAGAAAAAACACTACATCACTGTAGCAGTTGCCTTAGTAACCTCTGAAGGCTCATTAATTTATTGGCATGTGATTCGTATTAGTATGAATGATTTTGACAAATTAGTATTTTGATCTTCTCTATTTTGTGCCGTTTGCTTCACCTTTCTGAACAAAAAGTGTCAACCTGTCTTGTCACTTAATTAGGTTCCGGTGAATGGGCTTTTTTTCTGCAAAATATATGAAGCAAATAGCACCACATTTGTTCGCATTTCCTGGCAGTAAAATGAATTACTAACTCTCCTAAATTGGTAAAACTTAAATAGAAGAAGGTATGAAAAATACAATTCGTTCACACGCTTGCCCGCTGATTAAGTGAAATCGGATTAAATGATGTTCCTTCATTTTAGCTCTTGTTGTGGTGTTTTAAGAGGGAAATAAGTGGTTATCTAATTTAATTATAAAAGTTATTCCCTTTTCAATCAGCATGGCCAAATGCTAGTAAAAAGCGGGAAAAGAAACTTAGAAAATTTGAGATAAACTTTCAACCGATATTATTCATCCGCTATATTTCAGGAGAAAGCAGGACCTATCAAATTGCTTTCTGAGGCTAAAAATATAAATTCCAATCTTCATTTTTATATCCTCCCAAAGTACTTTCATAATAACTAAAAAAGTAATTGAAAATCAGTACTGGCTGAAATCACGCGAACAAATGGTGCGCTATTTTTCGACCCTATATGTGTTTCTTATCATTGGACTGATTATCCACAATATTTCATGCCATGAGTTTGTTTACCAGAAACGCCAACCAATTTCCACGCCTCTATTCAATTCGGATTACAATGAATTGTACGACTGGCAGAACTTTGAGTTGAGAAAACCCGATGGTGGGGTAGAGTGGTCAAAAAGCGGCAAATCACAAGCAGCACTCTTCTCGCCCTCAGTCGAAAGGGCCATAAAAATGCTGGATCAACTAAACTTTCAGGTAAACAGAAACACACACAACAATTCATAGCTCCAATTTATGCGTTACAAATTTTCTAAAAATTTTCTAGGAAAATAGGATTACATTTTTCAAGGAAAATAGGATTAAAATTCACTGTTTTTTGAAAAAAAAAATTCTTTCATTAAGTACAAACTGTTATCTAAGCACAACGCTGATTAGTAAGATATAATTTGAAAACTAGATATCTAGCAACATACGCCGGCAGAAGGACATGTCAGAGCACAATCTGTTTCATTTTTATTAGACCAAGTACTATTAATGCCAATAAAAAGAAGCCAAGTTACTGCAAAATTTCGGAAGTTTTTGCTATACGAATTAATAGACTGTTATACGAGTTCATAGGAAAAATAGACTGTGAAATGGACTACGCAAAAGCAATCATCAAAGTCCAATAAAATCCTTTATAATCATTTTATGATGAAAGTTGCCAGGTTCAAATATTATAACTATCGTAAATAGTGGTAAACACAATCCATTCAAGGTAATGGCCCAGCTCATTGTTTTAATGTGTGAAAATTTTCGTAACAATTATGAACATCCAAAAAATTAGTTTTTGTTTGCAATTTTGATTTGATTGTTTTGTCTGCAACAGTATTTGCCCGAGATTCAATGATCTGGTTGTTTCTGGCTGATGTTTTTGAAAAATATGACGTATCTTGTTTTTTTCCTTAATGGGCGTCTTTTTTGTTTGTATCTAATTTTGTTGTGCTTCGGCTCTTTTACCATTGCTTATAAACTTCATATTTCATATACTTGATCTTTTTGGGTTTTTACCACCCGCATTCAGTTTTAAGCGTTATTAATCGATTATATTACAATTTTGGTACCAGTCTTACTAAAATTGAGAAACTCCATTATAATCGATTATAATTGATAATAATCCCTTTGGTTTGTCCATTTTGTCTTCGAAGTTGCATCTAAATTGCTTTTACATATGATTTTTGCAGACGTTGGTTAATATGAAAAATGAGAAAAATATTTTCAAAGTTTTCCAATCAATTCAAATTTATAAGTTTTTTTTCATTTCTTCCCCATTAGTTGTTTAAGATGCATATTTTAAGCTTTTTTAAAAACCAAAACATCAGCAAGTTGATTTAGCTTCATGATTGACTCGGAAGATTTACTTTGTGTCATTAAAAACCAAAACATCAGCAAGTTGATTTAGTTTCATGATTGACTCGGAAGATTTACTTTGGATCTCTATAAAACTTTTGTGTCGTGGTAAAACTTTGTGTTCAGATGAACCAAAGTGTTCAAGAGATCTCTATTTCAGAGATTTTCTTATTTTCACAAAATGAATAACCCAGAAGATATAATCCGAATATTGCTTTGAATTGACAAAATTTTGGCAAACTCAGAAATTACAATCGATTATACTCGATTATAATTGATTTTACGGGTTTTATGTAAGAATTACAATCAATTACAATCGATTATAAGAGATTATAATCTCTTTGAAAACATCCCGATTATAATCAATTATAAATCCTTTAAACACCTGATTTTGGTAATTATAATCAATTTTAATTGTCAAAAAATTAACTTAATAATCCGTTATAATTGATTACATACGCCTAAACTTGCGGACAGGCTCTCACATTTTTTGGATTCTCGGATCACCACATTTGACTAAAAATTAGCATTTTCTCATCATTTCTATATTTTAGTCATGAGAACGAAATGAAAGCAACCCAAATTTTTCTCATGTTTTCGGCAATTGGTTTCTATAATATTTCTATTCTAGTCAACCGAAGTAATTTATGTTTTTCCTTTTTCGTCTGAGACAGGTTATCTTTCGAACTTTGGCTCTTAATTTTGAATCACACTTCGTGCGAATCTCCGCTTTGCCTCTGAGTAAACTTCTTCAAAACATCTAGGGCGTACAATTTTCTAAAATGTGATTAAATTTTGATTTCCGCCCCTAAAATTTAAACCAATTCGAGTGGGTTTTAACCAATCGAGATATTATTTGTCATTAGAGCATTACAATTTATTGTCGCATAATTTCAATTATTTCAGCCACTATTGCCTGATCAGGCTAAGTTCCACGCGTAGACCAACACTCTCTCTGAAAACATAACTCCACAAAAACACAGAACGTTTTGAATAATTATGACGACAGTTATGGCTGCATAAATTACATTGATTAATACAATTTAATTAATTAGCAAAAATAAAATACATTCAACTCTTTGAAAAACGAAAACAAAAATCATTATTGTTCATATTTTTGAAAACAATTAATACCAAAAGGAAAGTCTTCTTGCTAAGAAAATTGAGCTAAATATACAATTCAATTTGGAAAACTAATTCTACGCTCTACTCCCCCACTCCCTCCTTAAAATGACGAATATATTAAAAGTGCCACAAAAACTGTGTTTTTTTTTCAAATGTGATAGAGGCTCGTCATTCAAAGTTTTATGCTACAATTTTTTAAATCGAAAACAGGTAAACAGAGAGAAAAAAAACTAATTTGTGCTCAATGCTGCTTAGCAAGCAAACAATTTCTTTGTCATTTTTGCGCGAGTGGTAAAGTTGGGTGGGTTAGTAGTTTTTTTTTGCAAATACTGCAGATCACCTTTGCCTTTCATATACAGCAGTATAGTCTCATTTTCCTTTTCCCAGGAAAAAAACTGACGGAATATATCTGCTTGGGTTAACTTGCTTGTTATCGATTTATTGAAACAAATTCTATATTTTTTTAATTTTTGCATAACGAGGCCAAACTGTGCACTGAATGGGCGCACACTTTTTTCTCTGTATGTTCCTGGATTCCAGAGATAAATTTTTAAACATGTTGAAATTTTGTCGAAACGATCAAAGAAAATAAAAGAACAAAAGAAGAACGAAGGGAGCGTCCTTGTTGCGTAATCCGCTTACAATTCCCAAAACACACGGTTTGGCCTCGTAATGCGATAACTTTTGTTCCAGATTTAAAAAAATGTCTACGCTTTTATTTTAAAATTTAACCTCTGATTAATTCTGACAAGTTTTGGGGCTATGGAGAGCTAATATATTGATTGCTTATTTTGCTCAAAAATTAAAGAAGCATTCCAAATTTTTTGAATTTTTAAAGTTTTTCTGCCTTTAAAATGTTAGACCAATTCAAAAGTAGTCGAAGAGGTCACGGCTCTATTCTAAAACGAGCAAAAAGGCTCTTTTAACTGCTGTTTTTTTGTTTCGACAAGGAGAACTATAATGTTTTGAGGCTATGCTTTTTTTCAGTCAATTCTCGATGGTTTGACTCAGCATTTTGACAAAAAACTTGCAATGCCATCTGACAAATACTGTTTTTTTTGGGTTCAAATGTAAGAAAATTTCACCTCAGTGAGGGTTTTGAAAAATTCATTTGGATCATTCTGTTAGGCTTTTGAAAAGTGAACCTTTGGCCGATTTGGGATAATTAATGCGCATTAAGTTGCGTTCTTATAACACGCGTAGGCGAAGTGTTGATACCTTGCAAATTGACTAGAGGAACGTCGTGTTGTCGTATTACCATGTCAAGAGACGATATATACATGCTTTTATAGTTTACATTAGCGTATGCGGTGATTTATTGAATATAAAAATGGAAAAAAGTTTTTCAATGATTTTGTCAATTTATACACAAAGCATTTTTCACTTGGTCTCAAAGTGGTTTTAAAGTCAGATCATTCAGGGTTTGGCCCTTGCATAAGAGGAACCTTGTTTTCTGTTTTCCGTCGTAAAATTATGTTTTTGCGGAAGATTTAGTAAACAATTCAACCCAAGCCTGAAGTTTTAACCTAAAGGATTTTTGGATTACAGCCAAAGTAAAAGCAAGATGCAAAAGCTTGGTTACAAACTTGGCTATGGCCAGTTTTTGTCCATTGAATCGCCGTGCATCAGCTCTTGTGGTAGTGCCGCAAGTATTGTTGCATGGCGGTTCGATAGACAAGTACTGGCTGGTCGTAGTCAAGTTTGCAGCCAAATCTTTTTTTTTTATCAAATACTTGATTTTACTTTGGTTTTAACCAAAAAACTTAAGGCTTGGTTTGCATTGTGCTACCAAAACTTGCGCGAAAATGAACAGGAAATTTTGTATCGAATAGTTATGCGCGGCAAATCAACGGATAAAAACAAAGCCTGCAGTTTGTTTTTATTGATAGGTAAAAAAAATGTGAACAGCTTGCTGTTTAAGCGAAAATCACCAGACCCCTCTAAAATTAAAAAAGTTTTTGTCTTTAACTGTAACCATCCAATTTGAAAACAATAAAAAAGTGCTAATCAGATTTTTTTTCGAATTCAGAAACCTAAAATTTCAAATCTATGCTAAATTTTCGCATAAATTACGTTTTTGAATTTTTTTATTGATTTATTCAATTACACTTCACTAAAAATTCTTCCACAGTTGGCCAATTGTTAAAAAATCGATCCCAATAAACTTTTCCGACTCATCTTCGGCAAAATCTTTGGGTGTTGTCTTTCCGCAAATCAGCGCAGCATAACCACTATAACAATGATTTTTTAGAAAATCTGAAGATGTTTCCAAATTCCGCATTTAATGAAAATGTATGCCAGTTTACATATCAATGTTTATGTATTGGTGTTTATGAGCTACATTTAATATGTAGCCAGGGTCGGATTTAAGGGTGCCCTTTTGTACTATTTTGAGATATCCATTGTTGATTGACGGACCCTAAAAATTTCGGCGCCAAAATTTACTAACTTGAGGGGAAAGCGCGCACCAAAAAAAACGCAATTTTTTGGTCAAAGTTTTCCAAAAAGTGCCTAAAACCCATCTTTTGGATTGTTTTTTCAAAATTTTGCCTGCGGCGCACAACATTCGGCTAAAAATGTCTTTTTTGATGCTGGAGAGAGCTCAGAAAATCAAATTGATCAATCTTTAAAAAAAGGTGACAAATTTTTTTTTGAAAATCCGCCACTCGAGAAAGTCATAGGTACGCCCTTGTATATAGCTCAGAAACGTTTTTTTTTGGACTTTTCAAACTTTTGAATAC